AGAACTTTTTAATTTGAATTACTTCTCATTAGTAAATTTCGTGTTAAGTGTTCTAATGCCAAATTTATGGACACTTAATAATACAATTTTTAAGAATGTTTGAAGCCATACCCGTGGTAGGTACGCCAGAGTCATACAAGCGCGCTTCGGATGTCTTGCGCTCCTCGTCAAAGACCTACACCCCACATTAAGCCCTGCATTCTAGCTAAGAGCGAGGCGAATTGGTGACGGCACAGTGCACAATGACACATTCGCCTTACTCCTTGCTAGAATACAGGGCTTAATATGGGGCGTGGGTCACTGACGAGAGGGCCGAGACCTCCGAAACACGCGTGTATCACCTGGCGTTACCAACCTCGGGTCTTGAAAATTATGTTGAGTGTTTATTGCAAGGTTTTAAGAACAGTCGGTGTCTTGGGCATAATAACAGACTGTGTGATATGAAAAATCATAGTACCAAGAAGGAGAAATCAAATAAAAATCTCCATCCAAGCTATGTCGATCTATAAATTGCACACGATCGTTAGATTTTCAACCTTTTTCCACAAAAAAGCTATTTCAACCAGCTCTAGGTCCTAACGGACCTTCTATCATAATCCATGCCATTTCGAAGCATACTTGTCGCTTTGACATTTTCCTTGTTGCAATACTTCTCCGCACCCATTGACGATCAATTGCTAAGGTTTTGAAAACTAGCAAATCTTTGTCATTATCTTACTACTTCGTCCTTACTAACTTGTGGCAACGTGTTCAGTAAACCGCTATCATCACGTTGATGCTGTGTATTCGGCATCTCCTCGAAATAAAAACAAAAAGCGAGAAGCCTCTGAATTGCAAAAGAAAATTACTGCATAGTTTTTGAACTCTGTCATTTTCATCTTTTCTGCAAAAGGGGAATGATACGCGAAAGATCGCGATAGTCTTAGACAAAATTTCGTAACAGCATCAGTGGTACTTATGCCAGCATTACAGTGATGTTGCCGTTAGGTGTTACTCAATATCTCCAAAGGTTTATCACCTTATAGCGGCTAGGTGTATCTGTGTGACGGATTGCGATATACAGCGAGGATTTCCTCCCTTCACAAAAGGTAGTCCTTCCAGACCGAGAGAGAGTTTGACGTTCCTACTCGGATGCCCAGTTAAGAGTTGGAATCATAGTTGGAATTAGCACCGTCTTGGTATCAACTAACCGCGAAGAATTTCGTTGTGATCTGCAAAGCTCGGCAAATGTCTAGCCCGACTGCGCTTTGAGGATCTCTAGCTAGGCTGACTTTGCGACTCTAGGAACAGCTGTAACTACTACAGCGAAACTTTGTACAACACCTCACACATTGAATGCTTCTGTGTGCGACGTTGAGCGGTGCAAAGACCGGTGAGAAGCCATCAAATCTTGAATTCAACGATACCTCATTGAAACGGACAAACAAACTTTTTCACTACACTACATACGAATTCTTACTTTGCACATACCGCACCAGGACAGTCTCCGCTAGAGACTGATCTATACGCTTCTATTAAGTTTGCTGACCACACCAAACACTGTGTAATCGTCTAGGAAAAACAGAAATGCCAATCTACGAGAATTAGACAGCTATCGTCATTAATAGAAAAAGTTTTCATTATCTCCATTACAGTCACTTAGCATGAAATCCTATCATCTGACTGTAGTTCTTCTCCATCTTCACCGACAGAAAAAGTCAGTATTGGCAACCGGTATTGGGTAATCTTTGTACAGCTAATAAGAGTGAATTTGAAACGCGCTCTACAGCGAGACAGAAGAATTATCTACAGTGAGAAGTTCTTCTACAGGCTGCTGCTGGATAGTTCAACGCCACATTAGGATTGACCACTGAAAATGAGTGCAGGATAGCAAAATTCAAAATGAGGAATGAGCAAAATCGGAGGCTGTCTTAGACTCCTGTCCGTAGCGCGTCTGTTTTATGAAAACTCATTTTTCGGGCGAAGAGATGATCGCCGATGGACTGAGAGTATCCATTCATGCGGGTACCCATCATATTTTTACAATCAGCAAATAGTGCCTCCTTCAAGACCTCAGTGGTATTTGAGCTCTGTACGAGATCTGAAATAAAATTCTTTCCTTACTCTCTCAAATTCTTTCCTGACTGGCAGACAGCTAGCAGAGGACTTGACCAACCAGTTAATGAGACAAAAATTTCAGATCACATCTTTATTACCATCAAGAAATTGCTCAAAAAAAAGGATGGAACTGCTGCTTTACACTGCTACTGCGCACTTAACTAAATTTGCAATAAAAGTCAACTATGAAAGTTTCTTACAAAAAATATACGTCGATATAAGCGCAAAGAGTATTTGAAAGAAACTTAGATGCGATTTAGTCCGGCGGAATATTGTCGAGATTTTCGTAATTATCATATTCGTTACGCCTAAATAAACCAAAATAAAACCATTATTACAACCTGCCATGACATAAAATCAATAACGGAGAAGTTCCTACCATTTTTTTTCTCACAATCCTCGTTTCAGACCACAGGACCCTCACTACAAAAGATTCACTCGAGATTGAGCCCTTGAAGTTTAAACTGCGTTACAAAGCATAAAAAGAGGCACAGCTCCAGAATATAGTTATCATCATCGACTCCTTTGAAGCTAGAGATTCCAATTTGTGCATACTCTCGAAAGCTATATAAGAACATATCTTTGGAAAAGAAAGTTGGTACCTTGTGAAATGCCTTACTTTTTGAGAATGGTGGTTGAAGAAATTTCTGTGACTACTGTCCAATATGCTTTTTGAGTGTACTTTCCATGGTGTTGCAATGGTGTTCTGTGCACTTATCAAGGATCTCAGGTGAAACACAACCATCTAAGAAAGCAAAATTCTAAACAATTCCTTTGCAAGGACTACATCCAAAGCGTGTCACGGGTCATTGAACCCTTTCGAAATATCATCTGCTTCTTGTGTTAACCTTCATCAATTGTAAGGATGCGTTTGATAAAGTTGAAACGAGTGTAATCCTTGCGCGTTCGTCGACCAAGATGTAGACACGTCTTAGATAAGAACATTAGCCGACTGCTATCGAAAATGCATCAGAACAATGCAGTTTTTCCGTCAAGCTCTCACCATGTCCACAGAAAAAGAGGTTCGACAAGGCCACAGTACAAAGTCAAAAATGTTCACTGCTTCACTACAATGGATGATGAAGTCGCTCAATTGAGACAAGAAGGCAATATTGTCTCTACCAATTTTGTTTGCTAATAGAATGGAATAATAGCGATGCTCAATAATCCCAAATGATCTCAACGATTCAGGAAATGACTGGATTACGCATAAATAGAACGACTGCTCAGTTTATGGTGTGATTGTGAATAAATCGAATTGGACGGTTCTCTCATCACGGAGATTACCTCGTACATGTGAGGTGGCTGTTGAATGGACATGTAAAAGAACATGAAGGACGAGCAGTTAGACAGAAGGACTAGTGCACCATAGGTAGTATTTGGGACTCTTAAAATAGCCACCGATTTAATAGTGGGCCCTAAACGCTGCGTTCACCTTGCCAACTTCAATTACGTCAAGTGACCTGTACATCACCCACAAAGCACTTAAACAAAGTCTTCTCGTATTTGATCGACACTTGCAGCGTATAGCAGGTATAAGGCAGATTTACTGGGCACATAATGAGAAGAACAGATGGCAGGTCGGCAGAAAGAACACTGTAGTAAACTCCAGGATACAAAACATCCTTGTTGGTGGCCACAAAAACGATGAGCGGACGTGTTTAAGATCAACGTTAACCATCTGTATCCTCAAATGGCAACAAATTTAGTATTGAGGAATGGGCCTTGCGTACATCACCATGATCGAACAGACCACCACTATGTGTGAGAACTTTGTGAGATAAAAATAAATGGAGACTATGGTGGAGCCCGCAGTATCAGTGAAGGGCCATGCGAGTATCCAAAATAGTAATTAGCAAAACACTATAACGTTAACGTAAAACTTCAAAACGAAAGTTTCGCATATTCTGTGCGTTTATGGACATCCTATCAATTGTGATGGTCTCAACAAGTTTTGTTTGGTTTTATCTTTTTGTCGCTAGATTCTGAAGTCGCCACTCACCTCCTTCTTTTGGGACCTATCTGATGTATCTCTAGGCGAATCTGTTTTCTATTTTTGCCCCACATATCATAAAATCAAAAAAATTTGTTGGATCTGATTTCAAGTTGCTGAAGTATTCAGTGATTTACCATGTGAAAATGACAATGTGTAGTACTTTAACTGCGTAGTTTCTTCGCGAAAATCCTCAATTCTCTAGTAGGCATACTCAAGGTGAATGTTCGATACTTGCTGTTGTGTAGACCGTATAAGAGCGCATCAACTCTAACTGACTGCAAGTAACTTAGTGGAAAAACGGTAAGCCGCTCTTTAATTTTCATACTTTGGTTGTCGTTTGAGTAATACAGACCTAAGAACATAGATACATCGGCAATATAGGGAAGGAATATACCTGTATAGTATAAAAATATTCAGAAGCCCTGATAGAAGATCACAGATTGAAACAGCGAGCAAATGTACTATAAAATTGGTCTGCATTTGGGAAAAATAAATACAAAGAGAATATGATTGACTGGTTATGTTGAATGGAAAGAAAGTCGGTGAGTCTATATATTATGGCGCTCTGTATTCGGCGTTCAATAATTCTGTGCAATGATTGCCCGCAGTTAACAAATTACCATCAGCTGATGATTAAGTTCTTATCATAGCAGATCACTATCAGCGACTGATTTGGCAATTAATATATGCTCTATCCTGCAGATAAAGCGCCCCCAGATAGGGTGAAATATGTGCTCGAATCTCAGCTGACGCATAAGTTTTTGCACATCACTCTAAATCACTGGGTATATTGTAATATCATAAGCGGTCAAATGAAAATGATTTCATTTGATAATCAATATCCTATATCTGTCAGCATAAGTGGGTTCACTGTCGATAGCGACTATGCACTTTGGTGTCAAAACGGGCTTCGATAGTGCAACGATTGAGCACGTGCCCCTGTATAGGGTGAAATGTGGGTTCGAATCCCAACTGACGCAAAAGTATTTACACATCACTCAACATCAGTGTGTAAACAACTTCCAATTTTACAAATAATCCAAAGATATAGCGTTTGACGTTCATAAAGTGAGGATAATCCATGGATTCGACCTAATCAAATATCGTATACCTATTTACACTATCCGATGTATATGCAAATTTTTTCCGTCAGACATATTTATACTGAATTTGCCGACCATGGAGTGCTGAAAGGTAGATGAGCTTGGAAACCGAATCGAACCAGAGATCTTTATAGCATTTGCTATAAGAGACCTGTGACCACTGCTCTGCATGCGCTTCAATGACTTGACAGAGGGTTAAAACAGAATTTTATAGCAAACGATGCATGTAGATGTTAGAGCACAGCGCCCGTGAAATCTTTTGTTTATGGCTTGCGGCTGCTTAGGTATTCGATTTGCTCTTTGGGATTCTGCCATCGTCATCTTGTTATGTATCATTGATGCTAACTCATGCAGACACTCCTCAACGACCCGATAGACCGCGCTAGACGAAAGGAGGCGATTCCAGCCGATTTTTTTGATCTCCACTTTTCTTTCTTCAATCTAAGCTTCCTATAAGCACATGAGTTCTCAAACAAGGGAAAATTATGTGAGCTTGTGGGCTTTTTGATGTATTTTCCGTATAGTAAATTCGTCTATCTAAATATCCAGTGATAGCCAAGGTGTTCTATCATTAGAGGAACAGCGAATCTTTCGTAACTGAGAGCTACTGGAAAAAATTAGATAGTCAACTCGTTTGCAAACATTTGTTTCTAAATCTTTCTTTTCATTCAATGAGCTTTTCTTTAGCTGCCGGACGCTTTGCATTATATCACGAGAATGATGAGTTATAAACAAGGCAGATAACATAACTTGTTTCAACCCTATAGTTAGTATTGAAGCCTTGCTGATAGAATGGCAAAGTGTAAGTATATTGAACGTAGTTGGCGTAAAAAATAACAACTGAGTACTTGAAAAGCGCATGTGCGGGTTCGAGGCCCGCTTGAGAATCGGAGTTTTGTCCGTATCTTGGCATTGTAGTTTTGGCATTTAACATCGAACCCTCCCATAAGAAAAGAATCGACTGTCAACTTCAGAAAGAAATGACTATACGATCATCCATCGGCAAAGAAGGAATCCCTCAGTATCAGCTGAATCAACGCTGAAAGTTCAAAGTCTACCTTTGTTGATGGATGTGAAATAACAACTCGAATGCAAGATGTGCCAAGATTCGGGCAATGCGCTTAAAGATGAAAATTTAAATGATTCATGCTGACGAAAGAGAAAATAATTTCCTGCTATTATGGAGAAATATTGATTGAAAGATGGCAAACTTCCTAGTGTTACCAACTAGTTTTTGAATAGTTTTCTGGTGTGGACGTGAAGACCTTCTTGCAAGGCTCTCTCGGCATTCCAGTGGGAACAGCGTTTCACCAACTTTAAGCAAATGAACAAATTTCTATCATCATCTAATTTTGTGTACTAGGTAATTATGCTGAAAGCTATTTTCGGAGATACCTTTGGCCGATCGAATGTGACTCCTCTCTCCCAAATGCCCTTCGACGGATGCAGTGCTATTATTGTAATGCCTTCTCTGCAATTCGGTTCTTTCAGGTTTTTTACTGGCTCTTCAGAGAAGTCATGTCTTCGCACTCTCCGATGGTTTTGAAATAAATCCGGCCATTGTATATGATGAGAAGGATTACCATACCGCTCGTTTAGAGTGTTTCTTCAAGAGGACGCTCATATTTCGAAATGCCTGATAACTACTTCTGAGCCATGCATGTAGTATGTTATAGGCACCTATACAGTGGAGCACACACGAGTGTTTCCACCTTGATATCTTCGTCAGTTGACACAGCATCTAGTAAGGAGGTTGGGCTCCCCTCAAAAGGGATTGGCTGAGACGAAAGGCACCGGGTGTAGAACGTGAAATCACTCACCTGGTGGTACTTGTAAGTGGCACGTCTGCGTCTCCTCTATGTGAGAAGATTGAGTTCCCCCCAAGGGGATTGCCTGAGGCGAACGGCACTATCCAACTGACGAAACTGTGAAGGCCGAAAACACATGTATTGCACTGTCCAAGTTTCCATAACAGACCGCGTGCATGGCCCGAATGCAGTTATCAGGCATATTGAAATTTGATTCTAGTACCAAATCAAATAATAGACCATTTTCCGAAGAGTTCGCGCCGCAAAGTCTCTTGAGAATATACTAATGAGTGATTACCAAAAGAGTAATAAAAAAGCTGCAGCAGAGTAAGCGATCGACTAAGAATGATATCATGTATATCATCATGGCCTCGGACAGTTTACCTAGAATTCTGTGATTCATATAACACGCAGAGTGATTTTATGAATAGAATCTCTTACCACTCCTTCACAGGCTCGTCGTAGCGAGTAGGTATTTCATTGTATCAACACAATGGGCAAGGACACATCGTTGATTTTCTTGCAAAATTTCTACCTTGAATTGAGTTCTACATTATTATCCGAATGCTCGACATAGAGTGTTCATCTGTTTCACCTGTCGTCCCGTTGGTCGTCGAGTGACTTGAGTGGGTACCACCAACACTTCCATTTTTCCCTATCGCGTGCAAGAGTAGCCCAGTGGGTCCTCCTTGCTGTAGAGATTAGCTGAACAACATATCTTTCTTCTACACCTTTCGTGAAGAAATCGGACCAACGAGCTGGTGGTCTTCCTGTAGAGCGCTTGATGCCCCAAGGAATCCAGTCGGTAACGGCCCTCGCCCATCGGCTGTCGTTGAAGCGCACCATGTGACCGGCTCTCCTTATTTTCGATATTCTGGCGTGTGAAACCTCGTATTACTATTCGATTAATGAATTAGGAAAGATTACTGCCGTCGCTTTCTAGTCAACGCGTTACAAAGTAGAGGCAGATGAGGGAGCGAAGGCAAAAAAAAAAGAAGGAAGCTCTATCAGTATATATAGACGTTAATGAGTAGTAAAAAGTAAAAATATGGCTAGTAATTTGACAACTGTTCTTTTTTGAAAATTCACTTGTAGACAGTGAAGTTTTTTGTTTGGCTTTCTCACGTCACCCAATTTCTCCTTGATGTTTCAACTATAATTTGCTTGCTCATGAAGGCGACAATCGCTCTCAAAAGATTTGCAGTTTTGGTACTCGGTGATTCAGCCATACATTGGTGTGCTTTGTTTGACCCTTCGGAGGCAGTGTGCTGTGCTTTTAATACTCGAACTTTAGAGACCTTTTCAGATGAATGCAAACTTTCTACTAGACTTTCAGCAGTAAGTCGATAGCTTGAAAAAAAACGACGATCCAAATCATCGCTTGATCTTTAAAAAGGTCTATATTTTCTACTCACATGGCATCTGTGATCAGCTTTTCAGGCATTAAGTATTTATCTGATAGCTTAAAAAGCGACGAAAATAATGCCGAAATTGTTTCTTTCTTTAAAGAAAAATTTCTTAGGGCACTGCGGTGACAAAGAAAAGTTACATTTCGCGCACAGAGTAGTCAGTCCATCGATCAAACTTCATTTCGGGTTTACTGCTACTATAAATCAAAAACCAAAACATTACGAGAATGATGAAGCAATATCTTTTTAAAATTCTACAGAAGTCTGAGCTTCTAAGATACGTTAATCTCGGGAATGTTGTAAGTTAATAGGTTGGGAAAAAGTTCCGACAGATTGCTTGTAACTTTTTTGAGTGTCGGCCATTTTGTGTTTTGGTTTCATTTGAAAGTCTGTCTTCTCCCGTGTTGATTAGTATACAATTTATCTACTTATTTCAAGATGGAGTTGACAAGAGAGAAAGTTAGGTTGTTGATGATGCACGAATAGCTGTTGCGTTCAATGCAACGGTGGCAACGTGAACAAATCAGTGTGGCTCGGGGCGATGACACAGTTAGCAAAAGTGCGTTGTACAGGTGGTTTAGAAAGTTTGACGAAGGTAAAAAAGTTTGGAAGATCAGCCGTGTTCAGGTAGCCCAAAAGAAGTTGATCGTTGCCACCGCTGCATTTAAACCCAACAGTCATTTGTGCTTCATCAGCATCCTAATTTGCTCGCTTGTTAAGTCCATCTTGAAGTAAGTAGATAAATTATATACTGATGAACGTGAGAGAAGACAGGCTTTCAAATGAGCCTATACAAAAAATGGCAGACAACCAAAAAAGTTACAAGCATTTCCTCTCCTCAACCTATTATTATTGAGCTAACACCATATGAGGTGTGATTTTTTTTTTTTTGTTAAAGTAGCAATATTTCATCGCACGGAAGAGGTTGTGCACTACAAGAAAGCATGGAAAAGTGTATAGAAAAAATGGAGACATATAGTATTAAAAAGCCCTAACTATTTTTGACTCGGAAAAAAAACACTGTTCAAATAACGAAAATTGTGCAGTGCCTTTGCGATTCGCGCTGCGCGCAGAGATCTCACGATGCGCGAAGGGATAGTAAAATCGCGGAAATCCTGTACCGCTCATTGATCATTCTCGCGGAGCTTTCCAAGATATTATACAATAGAAGAAAGATATTGCGAGGAAGTGCCATAGAAACTATCGTCTACTTGAGATTGTGAGATAAGCACATTGTCTCTGCTGCAACCAGTTGACGTACACGCATAGAGCGACCTGCGCCGATTCGGCCAAAAGTTCATAATATATGAATGAGAAGCATAGGAAAACTTACCTCAATTGAGCCAATACACCCATATTATTTTAATCAAAAATACCCTCAGGTGAACTCATATCACATGTGAACTTATGCCTAACCTTTCCCAAAAACAGTGGCTACAGCTTGATATAAAAAGCCCAGCGTTTTTAATGATCTTCAGACGAATTAGACTTTTCAACAATAGTTTTCAGCAAAAAATGGATGCGTTTTTGACGCTGGGTAAATTTCAACGGTCGTGATAGAGAGTGCAATTAATTAAGATGCTGTGAAAAAATTGGAATTGGAAGTAGGTTGCTCAATAGCGATCTTTCCTCTATCAATACGCACAAGTTAGCGCCCGTG